TCGCTGTCTGTCCGGCAAGCACACACGCCCTATAGTGAAAATCTCTCCAAAAAAAAACAGCAAAGAAAATGGCCAACTTAATGGTAGAGACAAGTCTAGAGTTGAATGTTGCGTTCCAAAAATTAAACTGGAAGATCGGACCACACAGAGATAGATTAAGTATATGAAACTAAACTGGTGAAACAGAATCTTATGACTTTTTATATTTTTTTTTTTGAGAGGTTTTTCACTATAGGGCGCGTGCGCTCGACAGACAGAGAGAGACAGAGAGACAGAAAGCGAGAAATCACCCCCCAGGGGGGATGGCCATGCCGCAATCCCTTCTCCTCCATTCTCCTCTCGGGATCTTGGGCACGCACGCACACGCACCCGGCGTGAGTTTAAGCCACCGGGTCCGGGACGCGAACCGTGGTCGACTACGTGAGAGTCCAGCGACATAGCCATTACGCTAACTGCTGGTTCCCTGAACAGAATTTTAACCTGTTTCCTGCCTTTAAGTTTTAAGCAAAGCTCTTTTAGCATCTTTCTCATTTTGATTTATTAAAGCTAAAACTACTTTTCTTGAAATTAAAAAAATATGTTAAAAAATACGTATTTAGTGACCGCAGTAAACTTTATAGCATCAGCTAGGTGCTACTTCATAGTACATTCATTCTACTCAGAGCTTCATGCCTAAAGTCAGATACGTGCTCACAGATATGTCAATATCAGCTGAACTTGCTACTGAAAATAGATCAATTATTTTGTGAATCAATAAAATATGAGGGGGGAAGGAATGGAAAGCAACTGTAGACACCAGAGACAGTGTGAGAGGGGGGTGGGGAATGGCAGGACAGAGACAGTGTGGGAGGGGGGTGGGAAATGGCTGGGGGGGAGAAATAGGGGGAAATACACATACATATGTATGAAACAAGAAATGGAAAAGTATTTGTCAATGATCACGTGTGATTAAGCCACTATGCGGTGTACTCTGGATGGGAAATCACATGTATGCTGTGACGATGCTCAGGAATGAGCGAAAAAGAAATAAATTACGGAACAAAACAACCGGCGGCGGCAGGCATTGCTCACACACAGCTGTGCTAAGGAGGAGGATCAGGTTAGAGACCATCTTAAACACGGGCCTTACATGTAACAGCGCAGCGGGCGGTACGTAGACACCAGGACATACAAGCGCAGGTCGAACTTCCTGCCCCCGATGAGCAGCGGGTTGCTGATGTACAGAGAGATCACGTAGGCTTCTTTAGTAGACTGAGACACGAACCTAAACGTGTCAGAGAAAGTCGAATGAGATGGTAAATGACACCAAAGGCACAATGCGTAAAGAAAGGCGGCCAGCTGACGGCAGCGTGGGGACGGTGTCTGGACCTCACTCGACTGTGCAGTTTGCGTCCCGGATCCAGTAGCCTGAAAAACACACCAGGCACATGTGAACGTGTGCTCCAAATCCTGAGAGGGGAATGGAGGAAAAGGAAGTGTGGCATGGCCATCCCCCGTGGGGAGGGGCTTAATCGTTTTCCTTCTCTTGTCTCTCTCTGGTAAGTGCAAGTGCCCTAAAGCATATTTTTTTTAAAAAAAAAATTTAAATAAAGAATTGATAAGCTGGACTTCATTAAAATTAAAAATTTCTGCTCTACCAAAGACACTGACTGTCAAGAGAATGAAAAGACAAGCCACAGATTAAGAAACATTGCAACACACATCTGATAAAGGACTGTTATCCAAACATATGAAGAACTCTTAAAACTCAATGATAAGAAAACAAACAACCCAGTTTTAAAAATAGGCAAGAGACAGCCCTTAGCACAGCAGCTCAGCACTATGCTGTGGGAGCCAGATCCCACATGACCAGCCACAGTTATAATCCGAGCACCCAGGGGCCAGCAGGTAGCATGGTGGTTGGAGTGCTGGACTCCCACATGGTTGACTATGGTTCCAGTCCTGCCCCTGGTGGCTTGCTTTCTCACTTTCCATCTCTCTCTCTGGTGAGTGCAACTTTAAAATAATAGTAATAAATAAAATTAAGTAAATAATTCTTTCTAAAAAAATCCGAGCTCCCCGGGGCCAGCAGGTGGCATGGTGTTAAGGTGCTAGACTCCTATGAGCATCGAACCATGGCTGAGCATGTCTGAGTCGCAGATCTAGCAGCTTACTTTTTTACTTTCCCTCTCTGTCTCTGGTGAGCACATGTGCCCTACAGCAAATTAAAATAATAATAATAAATAAATTAAATAAATAATTCTTAAAAAAAAAAGTCTTAGCCCCTATCAGTTTGAAAAGCATGTCTGGTGTGTGTGTGTGTGTGTGCCCAGGATCCTGCCAGGGTGGAGAAAATGAGGAGAAAGGATGGTGACATGACCAGGCCCCACCGAAGGGATGCTTTCTTTTTGACACATGACTATACACTCCAGCAAAGAGAAAAATAAAATATAATGCCATTAAAAAAAAAAAAAAAAAAGGGCCCAAGATTGTAACGAACACCTCAGCAAAGAAGACGCACAGATGGCGAATGGGCATACGCAAAGATGCTCCAGTCCCCACGCCATCAGGGAAATGCAAATCTCAACAGCCGTGGGCCAGCACTACCCCACAGGGCGAGCCCAGAGCCCTGACAGCGCCCACCACCGGCGGGATGCAGGGTGACAGGCGCTCTCTTCACTGCAGGAGAAACAGTTGCTTTGGAAGCAGCCGGGGTGGTGTCTCACAAAACTGAAGATTCTCACCCTGGGGCCCAGGAGCAGCGCTCCTTGGTATTTACCTAAATGAACTGAACATGTACACCTGTACAAAAACCTGCATGGGGCATTCATGGCAGCTTTATTCATACTTGCCAAACCTGGACACAACCAAGAGGACCTGGGGCAGGTAACCAGAACCAACCAGAACTGTGGTCCCTCCAGGTGATGGACGGGAGGGAGGGGCGAGTGGCACAGCACAGGACTCTCAGGGCAGCAAGGCCACTGTGCAGCAGGCTGTGACGGGACACACGCATCACCACGTGTCGTCCTAGCCCACACAATCTACGGCACAAGAGTGGCCCCTAACCTAAACCGTGGGCTTCGGTGGTACGACCTGTCGGTTACAACCTGCCAGTCAGTTGTAACAAATGTGACGCTGACAGCAGGGAGGCTGTGTGCTGGGTGGGGACAGAGAGAGTCTGTGACTTCTGTACAATTCTTTTTTTAACTTGCCAGAGGGCGTGGGAGGGTGCTCACCAGAGACAGAAGGAGAAAGTACCTCCGATGGGATGTGGTCAGGCGCAACCCCTTCTCCACTTCTCCATCCTGTCGGGGTTTGGGGCACACATGCACACGCACCTGTCACGTTTTTCAAGCTGCCAGGGCTGAGATTCGAATCGCATGATCAGTCACGTGGGACCTGGCTTTCTAAACCACCAGCCCACAGCTCAGTCCCCTTCTGCTCAACTTTGCAGTGAACCCAAAACTGCTCTAAAAGTTACAGTCTGTTCAAAAAAGAAAAGGAATGGCAAAGATCAAGTGTGTTGGGCAGGCTGGCGACAGGCTCCCTGTTCTCACCGAGTGGGGGTTGGTTCACTGAGGAGATGGGGAGGTGGTCCCCATGGAGGCCACTCTGCACACCCGCCCACCCCAGGGGAAGTGCTCCCCGCTGCAGGACACCCTCCACGTCCCTTGGGCCCAACCCATCTGGGAGCTGCAGTGTAAACAGACTCACCGGACAGGTGAGTCCCTGCCCCACACTGAGGCTTGGTTCCAGCGACCTGGGGCATTTCTGAGCAGCTGAGAACACAGCGAAGGCAGAGGGGCCAGAGGCCCAGAGAGAGCAGGGCTCGTCCGTCAACCATAGCCCCAGGACGGCAACTCGCCTCTGCTCTGTGTGCGGGGCCTCTGCCTTGAGCTTCTGTCCCCACCACACCCCATGAAGGTGGTGCTACTCTGACTGCCAGTTCAGGTGCAGAATCTAAGGCACCAAGAGTCTAAAAACAAAATACATTCCATCAAGAAGGGCCAGACTGGACTAGCCAGGAGCGCAGGGCCCTAGGGCCCAGGCCCTAAGTACAGGCCTCCCAGCCCCAGCACCAGCAGACGGACTCTCAGTCCGGCTGTGAACAGAGTGCTCATGAGGCCTCATGGGTGGAAGGCCATTTCCTTCATGCCTACCAGAGGGAGAATCTGCCATTAACTTCACTATTACAGCCACGGAGCCCTGTGATGACATGTCACCAATGACACACGCCTGTGAAGGCGAGAGAGGGCCACCAGCTCCTGCAGAGAGACTGAGGGTGGCCCGGATCCCCCGACACAGAACAGTGTTCACTGCACTTACGAAGACGTCTTGCTGTCCCGGGACCACTTTTTGATCTGCGAGAGCTTGTTGATGAGGAAGATGCCCTTTCCCTGGGCTTTCCCACAAGGCTTCATGATCCAGGTGCTGGATGGGCTCTTCCGGAACTCCTCCACGAACAGGTTGTAATCAGCGGGCAGCATGTAGGTGACCGGGACAAAGTCTGAAAGGACGGACACCCGGCCTGGGAGTTAGCCGGCCCACGGTGCCCCAACTGGAAAACACGGTGCCACGGCCTTTGCGGGGGCCCGCTTCGCTCCCTAGCCCCAACCCAGCGTCTAACAACGACGTCTGCTGATCGACTCCTGCCCAACATGTGAAAGGACACGTGACCTCTTCGCGCTCAGCGTACGAGGCTCTTTACAAAGCTGAGCGTTTAGTCCCCGCAGCCACCCTGGGCCAGGCGCTGCTGCCACCTCCATCAAGCAGACAAGGAAGCTGAGGCCCAGAGGTCGGCCTGTAACTGCCCAGGCATGGGAAGGGATTCCGAACCCCCAACATTTCAGCTTCCATCACCAGACAGGGCTGGGTGGCACCGTCCTCCCTGGGTGGTCAGGTGCAGGGCTGAGCCCGTGCAGCAGTCTGTCTGACTCAGGTGCCCTGCACGATGCCCGGCACTGAGGTTGCCTTCTAGCCCCCACGAACACAACTCCAGGCAATTCCCAAGGTCTCCCAGAAACTCGGAGTCCAGGCTCAAGCCCCTGCCCCCAGTCCTGGAGACACCAGAAAGGAAGCAAGTGTCCTGCAGTCATGCCCACCCAGCAAGGCCAGCAACTGCCACCTCAGTGCTTTGCGCCCCAAAACCGAAATGCAGCTACTGGCCCAGCCCACGGTGCAGGCCGAAGAGTGCCACTGTGCAGTGGCTGAGGCTACGCGAGGCCGGGGTCATGGCATGTGCCTGACCTGGGGAGACCCTACAGAGGCATCTCCCCTCCCTTCCCTCTGCACTGCTCTCCCTCCCACATGCGCCCTCACTCTCTCACGTGAGATGAAAATAAAACCCACCACCGTTCGCCCAAAAGTGAAAAAGGCACCAACCCAGATAGAGGTATTTCCCGTTCTCATCTTTTTCCGCCAGAGGACTCCCCTCTTTTTCTAGCTCCTTCCTGTATCGCTTAATATTCTTCACCATCAGATCCTTCCGGGTCAGCTCGTAGTGGTTTGGAAAGTGGTTGACTATCTGGTCGTCTGAGAGCCGGTATCCAGTTTCGACGCTGAAGACGTTCCGGATGGTCTGCACGCTCATCCTGAGGGGGCACAGGCGAAGCGCAGGGCAGGGCTCACCATACAGTCTGTGGGCGCCCGCCCAGGAGGCCCGCCCTCACAGCCCTTCCCACTGCCCCCATCCCTCCTGCACCGAGTCAGGCCCGCCCGGCCAGTGGCACGGGAACTGGCGACAACCTCCCTGTGCCAGGGCAGGAGCTGCTTTGACTCTGTACTGAATGGTCTCACTCTGGCCTGGAAGAGGCGTCCAGTAAGTGCTGGCTGATCAGTGACAACACCGCTGATGGATAAGGTCACAAACAAACAGCAGACGGCCCCCTTTCAGATGCTCATTTATGCCACATCTGCACCCACATTCAAGGTCAAGGACCCCTTAAAACCAAACCCACAGGGGTTATCCAAGGGATGGAAGTCAGCACCTCATATTCCCATAGAGCTGACGACAAAGGGGAACTGGTCTCTCCCAGCCTCCCACGAAAGCCACTGGCTCCTTGCCACATCCCTGTCCTCACCAACCCCGGGGAGGACAGAAGCCACTGGGTCATGGGACAAGGCAGGCTGCCACACGGCCACTCGCTCTGTGTCCCTGTCCCCTCAAGCCCAACCCCACCCCAAAGTTCCCACCTCAGGAGGGTCCTGGAGTAGCCAAACGGTTTATTTGCATTCCAAGATCGTTAAAACAAAGGGACTTTTACTTATTTACTCACTTTAACGATTTATTATGAAAAGGCTCGACCGCACATGAAATACAGAATCACGTTTCTGACTCTGCCGGCCCCTGCCAGGGCGCCTTGTTCTGTGTCCCCGCCCAACAGCACTGGCTTCCTGGGAAGCAGCTTCCAGACATCAGATCACCCACCCACGCCCACACGTTTCTGCAAGCTCTCCGACGGCTAAGAACCCCTGTACTGCGTGGTACCCTATGCGGTACCACTATCACAACTAAAACGACGTAGCAGTAACATCAATCCTCCTGCGCAAAGCTCCCGACTGATACATATTTCCCCAGCTTGTAATAAGGCCCAGGTCTCCAGAGTGTCTGCTGTCTCTCGCAGCTCTCTCTCTCTCCCCGACAGTGCACACGTGAGAGGGAAGCTCCCTCGAGACCCCCTTGTCCCGCCGTGACCCCCTTCCCCCAGCCCTCCAGCTGGCCTCAGGATCTTGGGCACGCACACATGTGTCTGACATGTTTTCAGGCCAACCCAGAGATCGTCCAACTGCGCTCAAATCCTCAGCCCCAGTGACTCAAAAGACATGCTGGGCACATGTGTGTGTGTTCAAAAGCCCAACAGGACAGAGAACTGGAGAGGGAACTGTGGCGTGGCCACACACCACCACACACCCCCTGACCGCGTCTCTCTCAGACAGGCATCCACTGGCAATTAAAAAAAAAAAATTAAAAACACAACTTAGATACTCTGAAACAGGTCATATAAGAAAGACAGAATCAATGCTTGATTTTTTTCCATTTTTCAGTTTTCAAAATAACGCGTGGCTGCCACCCTCCAGAGATGTTTGTCTAAGGGTGTTCTGTTGTCTACCACTGCACAGGTCACCTCCTGGGGCAGCCAGGTCAGTGGCCATCTCACTGGCTCTCGTGCTGTGCAGGTCAGGGCTCAGGACAGGGCTTGGCTGAGCACCCGGCTGCTTCTCAGGCACTGGCTGAGGTGGCTGGGTGGTTTTCAGCTGGCAGACTGGCCAGTCTAGGGGGCCAGGAAGGCTTCATTCACGTGGCTGGCACTGTGGCGACTGCAACTGCCATGCGTTGCCTACAGGTGGCGCTGCAGAAGGCTACCTGGGGAGGGCAGCCTTTGCACCGACAGCTCTGGGCTCCCGCGGGAGCCTATTTCATAAGGCCTGGGCCTGGGCAGGGGTCACTTTTACCATATTCCACTGATCAAAGCAGTCACATTCCTTCTTGACGGAAGAGAGGCCTCACTTTGAGTAGGTAGTAGCTTCAAAAACTTTGAGTCTATCTTCTTATTTTTAAAGAACTACTTATTTATTATTGTTACTTAATTTGCTACAGGGCACGTGCATTCATCAGAGAGAGAGAGAAAGAGAGAGGGGAAAAGTGAGAGAGCAAGTCACCAGGTCTGGGACTTGAACCACGGGAGGCCATCTGGGAGTCCAGCACATTAACCACCATGACATCTGCTGGCCTCGTTCTGTGACTGTCTTTAATCTACCGGCCACAAGTCGGGTGCGGGCTTCTGTTTTTGGTTTATTCTTATGAACTCACCTCGATTCCCACATGAGTGGTTTGTTGGGTTTCCATCCATTGCACTTATCATTTTTCTTTTTTTTAAAGACAGGGTCTCAGGCCATAAGTGCAGTAGTTAAAGGAGCCAGATCCCACATGGACAACCATGGTTAGAATTCTGACCCTAGGGAACCAGCAGTTAGCATAATGGCTATGTCGCTGGACTCCAAACTGGA